TTGCCAATGCAGTAATGGCCATGCAGAAACTGGCAGTTTGCATATTATCATGTTGAAATACCTTAACACTGTTTAAAATTATTATTCAATATTGTGTACAGTATGCATTTACCACATCTGCAATATACAGTATGCATTAGCTATGATGTGTGTGCGGGATACCCTGGTGTTGCTGGACTTTGATGACAGATCTGTCAGTTTTTCTGATGATGGTATATATTTTCTTTGGTATTGGTGTAGAAATCATTTTTTGGGGTTTTTTTTTTTTACAATAAAGTGGTCATCGAGGGCATTGTGACTTCTTTTATGTTCTTGGACATTAGTGCGTAAATCAGATTTTGAAGTTTTTGCACCACCTCTGTATGTGAAAAAAAGCTTTTTCCCTTAGCATGGTATCTGCAGACAGGTGTAGATCCATGTTATAATTAATCAAACAATAGGAAACAAGAGGTAGCATTTTTTTTTCCTTAATAGTTCTATAAAATAACAGTTTAACGGTGGCCATACACTGTACAACCCTCGCAAGACTTTTGTCTTGCAAGGGTTGTAAAGTAATTTAAAAAACGTACGATCTGCCCATCTTGGACAGGCAGATCGTACTTGCGATCATCGCAAGCCCGCCCCACTGAGGGGTGGGCTTCTGATGACTGCAATGCTGAACGGGCAGTGTGCGCGTGCGCACACCGGCCCGTTCGGCAGTTGTCGAACAAGCACGCCACTAACCCGCCGAGAATAGTACGATTCTCGGCAGGTTTTCCAGCCTGCTTGTTCAACGGAAGACGTGCGATCGTACAGTAGAAACGGTCGCACAGCTTCCATACACTTTCCCGCGATTATCGTACGATAATCGTACAGTGTATGGGCACCTTTAAGCTGCCCATACACCTTACAAATATCGGCCGATTTTCGTATGCGATCGTGTTTTCCACTGAAATTCGTGAGGTTGATGGGCAGTGTACAACTACAAATACTGTACAAGCGATCGCCTTTTGTCTAACCAGCAGGTTAGAAAACTTTGGTCGATCCTATGATTTTCGCAAGGTTGGTGGCCTTTCCGTACGCCAAAAGTCGAACGATTTACACTGCACATGCGCAGACGAAAATACGTGCGGTCGATTACCGCAATTCGTCCAGGTGCTTTCTTTTAATTACTGCTGATCCAACCTTGCGATAATCGGGGCAGGATGGGGCCGGCCTACGAAAATAAATGTGGAATGGGACCATCCAATACTGCATCTAGGATGTGCTGAATCCTGTAAACTTGTTTTAGTCAAACATTAATAAAAGATTTAGCTATTAAAAACTGTTGATGCATGTGTCTATTAGTCTACTAACAAAAACAATGCATGTCCTAAAAAAGAATGGGGCCTCTTCTTGATATGCAAAGTGGTTAAAGAGATATTGATCAGGAAACATTCCAAAACGTCAAAATTTGGCCTGGTCACCAAGGCTTCTATGGGGAGGGTTTAGCACAAGGGTAGGCAACCTGGGCACCCCAGTTGTGGTGAAACTACAGATCCCATCATGGCTCTGGGAGTCCTGTCTGTGACTGTCAAAGTCTTGCTTCCAATGCACTCACAACCTGAAGTCTTCGGGGGTGGTGGGTGGGAGGAGGGGGTATCTCTCTTTCCATAGTTAGGTAACCTATTAAGCCAGCTGAATCCCCCAGGTATTCACCAAGCAAGCATTAACTTTGTAGCCCTTCCACTCAGCCATTACTTTACTTCAGCTAAAGGGTTTTCAGTTACAGCAGTACAGCATTCATTTTTCAATAACTTTAATTTACCATAACTCTCGCCATAGAATCAGGAACAATTTGCTACAGTAAAGGTGCCATGTAAACTAGTTTTCTCAGGAGGAAGACCTAGATCAGTGATGGCGAACCTTGGCACTCCAGCTGTTTTGGAGATACAAGTCCCATGAGGCACTCTGACAGCTATAGACATAACTCCCAGAGGCAGATGCATGTTGGGATATGTAGTTTTGGCACAGCTGGAGTGCCAAGGTTCGCCACCACTGACCTAGATTAAAGCTAAACCACATAGCTCCTTTATCATACACTGCCTGGCCAAAAAACACACACTTTCATATTTCATTGGACCGCCTTTAGCTGTGATTAAGGCATGTATTCACCATGCCCTTTTTTTGATTTTTATGCAATGTCACAACATTTATTTCTGCCCAGAGTTGCATTAATTTTAATTAAGATCTTGTAGTGATGATGAGAGAGTTGGATCACTGTGTAAAGTCTTTTCCAGCACATCCCAAAGATTCTCAATGGGGTTAAGGTCTGGACTCTTTGGGGACTAATCCATGTCTGGAAATGTTGTTTAATGCCCCCTAAACCACTCCTTCACCATTTGATCCTGATGAATCCTGGCATTGTCATCTTGGAATATGCCCATGCTACTAGGGAAGAAAATACATTGATGGAAAAACCTGGTCATTCAGTTTTACCCAGGTAGTTAGCTGACTTCATTTTTATGCACATAACATTGCTGATCTTAGACCTATTATCCAATGTAAGGCTCTTATCCATTTTATTTAGTATTTTATACATTTAGAGCAGCCAAATGATTTAAATATAAATGCTGATTGGTGACCTTGGCATTCACCACTTTGCTAAAATGTTATGTATCAAAGCAAAATGTTGACTTTATGGGGTGTTTAGAAAAAATTATAAAATGTCACAATGCAAGTTGGCACTATATTGATCTTGCAACCTCACCTGAAAAGAAAACAAGCATCTGTATAGTCAACTTTAACATACTGTCATCTTTTTTTCTATCTACAGTTGACACGCAGTGTTAATGGAAAAACATACACAGCTGTAACTAATATTAAATCATTTGTTGTGTGTGTGCTGCTGTCAAAACATGACAAAAGGCTAGATTTCTGGATTAATGGATGTTAATGTTGATAAATAAAAAAAGGCTGAAACTTGCTATTGTGCAGAATGTTTCCAAGGGATATCTTCAGCGCTTTCTCATACATCTTTTTTTAGTTAATATTACCCCTGCTCTTTTCATTACTTTTCCCTGCTGGTGTCTTACAGCATGCTGTGAATGACCTCCACAGATTGCTCAAGTTTTATGCAGAGAATACATTGATTCTGAAAGCTTTATTAAATAAGTTTGTTGTTTAGCTACTTCCTGATGTCAGCTACATTAAAAATAAAACTCATAAAACTGAGCTATGACCTTCAAAAATCTAAAACCGCAAAGTGATTTTTTTTCTTTTTTTTTACTACGCAGATCCAAAGAATGCAGTTTCACTAAGATTTTAAACAGCAACTACTGATAGCAAGTACAAATCTTCCTAATGTGATCCAGGGAATGCTGCCACTATGCTTGGGTTAGAAAGCCCACTCAATAGTTTTTGATACTCCATAATCAGTATGGCTGTGTGGATATACAGCAGCCTCTTTGCTAGTTACCCTCACTGTCAAGGTTTTCAGGAGACTGGGGAGGAAAGAATGGGATTTGGATGTACATACTTTTTTAGCATGACCATGGATCCTTTTTTTAGAATGACCATGGATAAATATACTTAAAATAGGGTGACCTTGGTGGTTAATTACAGAGAATTGGTGTAGATGGAAATTTCCTCTCTGTAGAATAAGGTGTCCTGAAAACACTAGAGCAGGGATGTCCAAACTCTGGCCCTCCAGCTGTGGTGAAACTACAAATCCCATGAAGCATCTCTCTCCAGAAGTCATGTCTGTGGCTGTGAGAATCTCGCAAAACTCATGTTCGGCCGACCCGAAGTGTAGAAGGAGTTCGACTCAGCCGATCCAACATCTGGATCAGCTAAGGTGAACCTCCGGCAGGCTACTTGCTGCTGTTCGGTCTATTCCTATAGATGCCGAACAGCAGTGAGTGAATAGCCGAATGCCGCTAAGCGGCATTCGGCTTGGCTGTTCTGCTCACTCCCTCTGTGGGACCAAGCAGAACAGACAAATAGTTAAAAAAGTAGAAAAATAAAAATGATTGTGCGGAGCTAGCAGTGACAGCTAGATCCGCCCAACAGTTTTCTATTGGCCGGCGGTTCTGCTGCCGTAAAAAAAATAAAAAATAAAATTTGGCCATAGGAATGCATTGCTAGATTGCTATTGGCTATTTCAATTTGCAATAGTCAATAGCAAACTAGCTATTGTACCCGCCCTCTGCTGCTGTCAATCACTAGTGGGGACCTGATGGAGAACTGCAGCAGAGGGTGGGCACAACAGCTAGTTTGCTATTAGCTATTGCAAATTGAAACAGCCATCAGGAATCTAGCAATGCATTCCTATGGTGAACACATTTTTTTTTATATTGTGACACGGTTCCGTGTCAGAATAAAAAAAAAAAGAAAAAGCAGTGTTGCCAAGTTCGGGAACTGTACGGGCTATAGTGAATAGCCCGTACAGCAGTAGAACCGAAGGGGTCCGGCGGCCGAAGCTAGCCGAAGGATCGGCCGAAGCTACGGCTAGATCCCTTAGCTGCTTCGTGAATAGACCCCATAGGGTTGGTAACCTATATGAATTTTATAAGGACAAAGAGCAAAAGAGAAAGAAAAAGAAAAAGAGAGAGAGCGAAAGGGGTACAGGGAAACAGTATATGTTAGTAACAATTCCTATCAATTTGTGTATGTATTGCTTATAATTGCCATGCATGCATGTTTATGTGTGATATTCTGTATTTAAATGTGTTCAATAACTCCAATCAAGCCAATGAAGCCTTTACCTGACCAATATAACAAGTAAAATTGAAGCTGCAGAGTGACTGAAGATGATGTTTGCTGCACTACAAAGTGAATAAGGGTAGTGTGTACTAGGCTGGATAGAGAATGAAGATAATGTTTTCTTTAACACAGAGTGAATAAGGGTAATATGCACTATACTGGAGAGGGAAGAAAGATGACATTTGTTGCACTACAGAGTAAAATAAAAAGTAATGTGCACTAGACTGGATAAATAATATGTAAAGTGTTGTGTAAATGTGCTGAAGAGTAGCTAAAGATTATGGGTGGTACACTTCAGAGAGGATAAAGGTAATGTCCACTAGAATGGGAAGAGAATAAAGATGATGTTTGTTGCACTACAGGGTAACAACTGGATAGAGAATGAAGATAATATGTAATGTGCTGAAGAATACCTAAAGATGATGTGTGGTACACTACAGAGAGTATTAGGGTGATGTCTACTAGCCTAGAGAGAGAATGAAGATCATGTGTGATGTGCTGCTAAGTGAATGAAGGTCATGCATGATATAGAGCAAAACAAACTGCAATACGTGATGTACTGCAGGTTGAATAAAACATGTGTTGTGGAGTAGCGTGCATCTATTTATTATAGGCTCTGCCTCACAAGTGTTGAACACAAATCTATATTGGCAGTTAGGCAGATGTCAAATAGATGTCAGTCAGAAGAGCAGAAGGTGCATCTCCAAATAGGCTGAATGGCAGTAGCTCTGGCATCTTGAATTTATTAAATCACATTGTCATATTTTTATACCTTCTCCATGACATGTTATGTACCCAGCTTTGACAAGTTACTAATTAACACTCCTTGATTATATGACATAATGTGGAGCATGCATATAATGGTCATCAAGAGTTAGGATTTGTGGCAATTACTCTTGCTAAATTAAACAATGGACAGAACAAGAACTAATTTTGTGGAACTGTATGCTTCATAACCTATTAAAGTTATGTATACTTGAAGGCAATTTATTTCATATCCAATCATTATGATCATAATATAGTATGCTAAATACCTTCCAGTTGCATATCCATATTTATTGAGGAACAATGAGATTGTGAAGTCATTTACTGTTATAAGGTGACAGGGCTCTGTCCCTGTCTCCTGATTGCTTTCCTCTATTGTCACTATGTCATACACACTTCCGATAGAGACAAGTGACCACCACAAAACACATTAAATATACATGATCCACTGTTTTCACCATCAGAAAGCCCACCCTGGGAAATGCCATGCAGATGCCACAGGAGTTTTTGCATGTAGACAGGATTTGGCTGAAGAAAGGCTGCAGGAAATTCAAAACACTAAGGAGTTTTTTTCACAAAGCTGCCAAAGGCAGCTGAGTGAATAACCCAGCCGAAGTGAAGTGAGCCGAACACAATTTGGCTATTGAATCCAATAATGATCTGTGCTTTAGAAAAACAAACCTCCCCATGTGGATTGTACAGCTGTGCTATAAGGTATTAACCCATAAATATGTATACGTATGCACAGTGCATCAATCACCTATAACATCAAGTGGGCTGTGCTAAAAGGTATTAACCCTTAGAGTGTGTATCAAGTGCTAAAAGGTATTAACCCTTAGAGTGATGCATGCACTGTGCATCAATCACCTAAAATAGGGATGCACCGATACTTTTCAGATACCAGTGCCGATACTTGGCATTTTCATGAGAACTACCAAGGTTGCAGCGGTTGCAGCTGGGACCTGGCTCTGGTGCTCCACCAATGTCCTGAAATCATTAGTCTATATTGTTTTAGAAAAACTGTCACATGACAATAAACAAATATGTATTAGTACTTGTACTTGTAAGTACTTGGGCAAGTATCAGTACTTGTACTTGCAAAAATGGTATCGGTGCATCCCTTTATTTATATTTGTATTTATAAAAACAAAATCATACATTAAAACAGGAATGCACAAATCCCAGGAGCTCCGTATGATCCTTACAAATGACAGCTGCCTCCTAACTTTTGAATTTTGCTCTTGTCTAGTCTTGGAGCTCGAAAAGTATCTGTACTTGTACCGAGTACGGTACTTGGTATCGGTGCATCCCTAACCTAAAACATAAAGTGACTTTATAGTTTAGGTGATTGATGCACAGTCTATAACCTGATACACACTGTAAGGGTTAATACCTTTTAGCACACTTGATGGTGATTGATGCATCACTCTAAGGGTTAATAAATTTTAGCATTTGATACATATTCTAAAGGTTAATACCTTTTAGCACAGCACACTTGATGTTATAAGTGATTGATGCACAGTGCAATTTGGCTATTCACGTACAAAGGCTAAAATCAGCCGTACATCGGCTGCCTTCGGTCAGCAAAAACATGCTCTGCATATTCGGCTGAGCTGAAGTGCAGAAGGAGTCTCAGACTCAGCTGATCGAACATTTGGATCGGCTGAGCCGAAGCTCCGGCAGCTCACTCGCTGCTGTTCGCCCCTATTCTCATAGGGTCCGAATGGCAGTGAGTGAATAGCCGAATGCCGCTGAGCGGCATTCAGCTCGGCTATTCTGCTCACTATGGGGTTCCCCCTGAAATTACCAACCAGACCCTTGATCCGAGCAAAGGTCTGGCAGGGTAGGCCACATGCCCTTGGCACTGGGAGGGTGCTTTTCCAAGGTCGCCCATGGAAAAGCACCTTGTCCCCATGTTGATGGGGACAAAGGCCTCTTCCATACAAGCCCTGGGGGGTTGGTTGTGGGGGTGTGGGCAGGGGGGGCTTATTCACATTGGGGTACACCTTTAATAAAGGCTCACCCAGATGCAGGCCCCCCCTTGCGAATAAGTAAGGAGTACTTGTACCCCTACCTATTCACTAAAGGGTTAAATGAAACGTTTTAAAAAGAGGCCAGACTTTTGAAAAATCCTTTATTTGAAAAAACAAAACAAATGATTTTTGACAAGTCCTTTAATTAAAACCCCCCTCACAAAAATGGATCCACCGACGTAATCCTAAGTTCAATCACAACGTCCAGCGTTGTCCACGACAACGACGACTCGTCGAAATAAAAAATACAAATAAAAAATAATTTAAAAATGACGCCCGCTGACCCGACTGCACACGACCAACTCCCGCCGCAGAATGAAGAATCTGACAGATGCCACAAAATATAAACAATTGGGCGGAGCTAGTGGTAACATCACATCATGGCAGGCTCAGCCCAGTTGTTGTTTAATGACAGATGAGCATCCCCACGTCATTTGAGGACACTGATCTGTCATTACAACTGGGCAGAGCGAGCTGTGGGATCGAGGCTGGCTCTGCCCAGCTGTCATTTGTGTGAAGAACAGTCGACCTTCGGCTCCATCATAAATAATCCTCTAAGATACATTAGAGGATGAAAAAAAAACTCCAAATATTTTATTACAATTATTACTATTCTTCATGGTATACTGCATTAGCAAACAACATGTCATTTAGTTACATCTATGCAAGAAATAAAAAAACCATTAATATAAAGAGTGACACCTTAAACACAGTGTAGGACAACAATACATGCAAATAAAGCTATATATTCAGTTAACATAAGCAGCAGGATTTACTTGTATTCAACTACAAAAACAAAGTGCTTCAGATGTTTTGTAAAAAAAAAATACAAATGGAAAAGGAAAAATGCTAATTTTAACATACTAAACTGAATATTAAAAACATAATATATTCTCCAATAAATTAATTTTATTATGTGCAATATTTTAAAATGAATTGTTACTATTTTGAGTAGGTATATATGGGTCCAAACCATTATCATTCCAGATTCTAGGAATGTAGGACTATTAAAACAAATTACCTAATATACAGTACAATATCACTTTAAAATATTTGTTGCTTTACAACAGAAAATCCAAATAACCTCTGCAAGCCAATCAGAAGCCCTCTGCCAGCTGCTTTAGGGAGGGCAGTTGATTCTTTAGAGCTTAGTAAGGGTTAGTCATCTCTTCACTGCTCAGGTGACTTGCAAATATCACTGAGGTGGTAAACCAGGACATGGCCCTTATGTCCAGATAAAGTTATAAAGTATTGCTATTTTGGGATTAAATTGATAACTATACTGATAAGTAGAGCTCAGTGATTAAACAGTTTACATTTGGAGGCTAATAATGAAAACTTACGCTCAAGTCTTTGTGGTACCACGGGCCTTTGTTTTAGTTTTTCAAGTAAATCATTTACTGAATTCCACTCTTCATTCAAATCATATAATTGACTCTGTTAAATGCAAATAAAAGTTATTTAGCTTTTAGCACCAATATTTTTTTCAACTATGTGAACATTATGTTAACAATATATTATGTCATTGGGTATGCTCTTAAAATGCAATTTTTACAACTGAATTAAATAAGTGGGAGTTTCTACTATTTCTAACACAAAGCCTGTGTAACTTACAATAGCCATGTTCATACACATTGTTTTGTTTAACTATAATATTGCTGATCTGACAACCATTACCTGGGGGCTGCGATAAGCAAATTTTGTTATAAAGTTGAAAACAAAGCCACCGTTTTTACTGGGTGCAGACCTACTGGAAAATGTTTGTTTAGTGTGAAACAAAAAGAAAAAACAGATCAGCTGACAGCTGCATGTCTCTGGGCATTCCAAGACATATGCCGATAGTGCCTTGCTAAACAAACCTCAATGTAAGTGGAAACCCAGATTTATTTTTCCTGTCTAATCAGTATTGTTATTTTTGAGGTGTCATCACAAGGGGTATCTATACAGCACATAATCATGCATGTTTACCTAATAACCACTTGACATATCATTCATTCAGCAGTTGCCATCTCATTTAGAGGCACCAATGCTTTGATTAAATGTCAACGGGTACTAAATAAGCTAATTCAGGTAAGCAAAATTCTACTGGTACAAATAATACAATTTCATTTGAAATAAGCCAAACACATCTATTCTGAACAATTTAAACATGACTCTTCAAACAGCTCTACCTTGTTGTTTTATTACACCAGCCACTTGGGAAAGAAGCACAAACTATACCGAACTGTCATAGCTCATTGTCAGATGGCAATTTATTTCCTCCCTGGCCCAGGAGAACAAAGAGAGGCTTCATACATTTACATTCCCCTTTAGAAGCAGGTATTTACAAGTCAAAATGCCAAAAAAGTATATTCCACTCAAAATATAAAGAAAAAAGTATATTTTTATGTCAATCAATAGAGACAAACTTGAAATTGACTATTCTGACTTTTAAATGCACATGCCATATTCATTCTTCTCAGTAAACTTAGAATTGCTATGAACATTGCATTCTTTTAAAAGGTCTCTTTTGGGAAGGTGAAGTAACTAACCCAAGGTCACCTAGCTAGAAGATGATATAGAAGAAGCACAAATTATTTATGCGATAAAACAAAAATGAATAGTCACTCACTTTCTTACATGTCTGGGTAGTGAATATTTTTTCTAACTTTAGTTTGCTAACTTAGACATAAAATGTGTTAAAAAAGTGGTGGTAACAGAGAGAGAAAATATTACTCTAGGTAAATGGATGTATAAACAGGTTTGGATAAATAAGCCTGCACTACCCTACATAGTTACATAGTTAGTCAGGTTGAAAAAAGACACAAGTCCATCGAGTCCAACCTATAGAGATACAAAGAAAAAAAAAAAGAAGAAAAGCCTAAACAGAACACTATGCCCACAATTGCCCTGTGCGTGCATATTTGTATGACTGTAGCAGGATGAAGGGAGACAGGGAGATGAGATGACAACACAGCTTTTCATTAATATATATATCAATATATATTAATATTAAATATATTAATCCAAAACAAGACATTGTTATGTGAAGCATAACATCCCCAGTTATTAATAATGCAATCATTGTTAGTGCACAAGAACCCTTATTCTTGATTGATGCAAAAAAAGATCCTGCAAAATGTACTATACTTTCTGCACATGCTGATACATTTATTGGGAAGGTCACCAGTGAGTGATATTTGACTGTGCCCTTTAGTACCATGTTATTTTAGATAAATAGTACTTGTGGTTTAGTAAAGGTACTAATACAGGGTTTTACTGTGTATGGTCATCTTAAGATTTAGGCTAAACATGATATCCTTAGCTGTATGTTAGGAGAAATAGTATTATGGAGTTTCAAAGATGACTATTATATTAAATAGAACTTGAAATTAGTTTGACCCTTCTATATGGTTATGGAATCCATATTTTCCACATGCAATGGATATTTATTGAAAGCCTTCCTTTTCGAAGATGATTTAATCTCTCTCTTAAATACATTGTTTTTCTTTCCTCAGTAGTACAAGTTACTTCATACAACCTTACATACCCAAGTAATAACTCATATGGTAATCTTTCTGAACTGACATTTACATAAACGTCTGCCTGTGAACTGCACGTGTATTAGCATTACTTGATTAAAAATACACCTTGCCCATTGAGAGCAAATTAAAGGAGAACTATGGGGTTAAGGCTTTTCCCCATAGTTCTCCTTAGGGTAACGGGAGGACACAAACTAGCGTCCTCTCGTCACCCTAGGCTTAGTATACCATGAGCTGTAGCTTCTGCTCGCGGTATACTAAGATGCCGCAGCTGAAGCGGATTCTGACAATTATGTCTGATCCGCCCAGCTGCGTGACTGACAGCTGGCTCTGCTTATCCAGAGGCAGAGCCAGCTGTACCCACCCCCTCCCCCGTCCATTCCGCCAGTCAGCGCTGGCGGATCGGAGCGGTGGAGGGGGGAATCCAACCCCTCCCCTGTTACGGCAGAGAGCCGTGACAGGATCGAGAGGTGAGTGAATGCCGGTATGTGTCCGCTCACCTCCAGATCTACTGAGCCGACCTGTGACAGTTTAATTGTCACAGGTCGGCTAGAACTATGAGGTGAGTGAAAAACACTCACCTCATAGTTCTCCTTTAAGAGTGCCTTTGCAAAGTCCCCCGAAACCAGTAATGCTCACGTTAGCACCACTTCTTTGTTGCTCCTGACTCCATTGCAGCCAAGGACAATACCCAGTGCTTCTGGGTATGGGAGATCATTTGACCTCCTATTATGAGACAGTGCTCAGGTCTAAGAGCCAATTGTTATGTCCAAGCACTGTCACGTGACCGGGGAGAGATATTACCTCTCCCCTTAGCTTCTAACCCCAGCCAACACCAGCTGCCACTTTGGATTGCAACATCAGCTGCAGACAAAGCAGAAACTTTGAGTGAGAGCTAAAATGGTCAGTATAGAATGGTGGGGGGCCCTTTACAAAGACACTGCCACTTCACCCTGCCTGGGCAAGGAGATATTGTCAAAATTTTATTTTGAGAATGAGGAGACATACTGGTGTTGGAGTGGTTAAGGAGACTCTGCTCTTTGTATATACAATACTTGTTTTTGTCCATTGTGGGTGGACTGTCTGCAGGGTATGCTGCTGCCATAAGCACAGGGATGCATGACTATGGCGCCATGGGGAGGGAACACCTGGCTGTTAGGCTCTTTCTCTGTTTCCAGTATGGGGGTTTAGCACTGTTTTTCCCCACAGTGTCTGTGGGTGGCGCTATGGACAGTGACTGTGGTGCTGGTATGGTTTCTCCCTCTAGCAGAGTGTAGGGTAAATGCAATCAGTGGTGATCCAACTTCCTCCCAAACAGACAGACCTAGAGGGGGAGGGGATGCTCATAGCCAGTGGTTACACTTGTGATCTCTGTGATTGGTTTACAGCGATCACAAGACACTCTGATTGGATCTTTTGATTTAGCCTGTAATTTACACAATGACCTGTGTCTGGTGTGCGCATCCACCCCACAAACAAAGATGTGATGATTCTAAATCCTTGTCTAGTAGAATAACTACAATGGTGGATCATTAGGTGGTTAAGCACCACATGTGCAAAGCATGTCATTGTTACTGTGTCTGGTTACCAACCATTATAAATACATGTATGTATTTATATATATATGTATGTATGTAAATATATTTGAATGAGAGGTCCAAAAGATTATATTTTTGTAAATGTAGTCATTCTACTTTTTAGATATTCCCACACAGAGGAAAAAAAATACAGCAAGGCAGAGTACACAATGCATGCAGTTTTGTGATTGAATTCTATTGCTGCAGCACGATCCTGCTTTGTTAGTAACATATTTTATGATAAATTACTTCCAGAGATGAGTCCACACTTGCTCAAATTAGTACCCCCTCAGGACAACTGTTTTCGTTTTTTTCAGTTTTCAACATTCAAAACACCAGAGTGATATGACTTTGTCCATGCGCAGATGTGAGATTGTCGACCAATAAATGTATGTGTTATTTTTTTGCTTTGTGAAACCAGAAAAGAACATAGAGAGATGCCAAGGTATGCATTGCTCATAAAAAATGTACTCAAATGTGGTATTTCAAGGTAAATTATATTGTACTTTCAGTAAAGAAACAGCCTGAGTCATTACTGTAACATTTACTGTAATGTTTTTTTGGGTGTAATGTTCACATTTTAGTTGCATGCTGTTGCATACGTTGATTATTGTTATCCATATACATATCTGTAATGCTTCCTTTTGCCATCTGACTCAGACATGTGTTTAGAATCCTTGCTACAAGACAGTTAAAGCCCAAGTAAACCCTCCAGGTGCATCAAAACTGTGTAAAAATTCTTACCATTTCTTTTTTTTCTTTGTAAAGCAGCTGCAACCTAAGTAGGAAAGCCTGCTCTGTGCCAGCAGCTGCAGAGTTGGACACTTACTCTCAATGGGGAAGAAGTGGTCTTATTGCAGAGGTCCGACATGCCCCCTTCTGAGTCAGACATATAGCTTTGCAATCAGCAAAATGCATGCATCCTGCTGATTGGAGAGCTCCAGCTCTGTTTCTGCAGGGGGCATGACGAACTTCAGACGAGAAACCAGAATTTCCACACAGAGATTTTACAGAGAACAAATATTAAGACCATGTAGACATTTTGTTTTCATACACCTGAAATATATTCAGGCAATTTAAACTTAAAGATTAATTAAACTTTGGTCTTGTTCAGTCTTACAAGTGGCTGCCATTTTCCAATCAAGTAAACAGTGAGGTTTAGCCACTAGGGTTAATTTACTAAAGGAGTAGAGAATGTTCAGTTATCAAAATGAATGTTCATTTTGCAAACTAATAGGATTATTCACAATAGGGTGAAGAGTTTGGAGAAGGCAGGAGAAGTGAACAATCTAAACCAAAATAGCTGGTTTGGAAAAATTCTCCAATTCAGTTCACTTCCTAGTTCAGATATTTTGGAGTAGTTTGTTCACTTATCCTGCCTTCTCCAAACTCTTCACCCTTTTGTGAATAACCCTGTAAATGTTCACTGAGCTTAGTAAGGTGAAACTGTGCTCCTTCCAGTCAACCAATCCGGAACAAATGTATTTCTTGGTGATATCTTTTGAACATTATTTATTTTACAAAGTGAATACAGCTACATCAGATTTACTAGCTAAACAAACAAACATTCACTTTGGAAAGTGAGCATTCACTTTGTAAGCTAAACACTTTCTACTTCTTTAGTAATTCAACCCTACTGTGTAACATTTCCAAACAGAAATAATGGCTGTACAAACACATTTACAAACTATATACAGAAACAGTAACACTAACATGCTGATTTGAATATTTAGGGGTCTAGTCACTAAGCTGCCGTAGGCAGCCGAGGGACCAACCGACCCTAAGCATAGTGAGCCGAACACTGTTCGGCTATTCACTTCAGGCTGGTACGGCTGATTCCAGCCGTATATCGGCTGAAATCACCCGTACATCGGGTGGCTTCGGCTGGCTTCGAGGCGGTCGAACATGCTCAGCATGTTCGGCCGACCCGAAGTGCAGAAGCAGTTCGACTGAGCACATCCAACATCTGGATCGGCTAAGCCGAACCTCCGGCAGGCTACTCGCTGCTGTTCGGCCTATTCTCACAGATGCCGAACAGCAGTGAATGAATAGCCGAATGATGCAATAGCTAGTTTGCTATTGGCTATTGCAAATTGAAATAGCCAATATCAATCTAGCTATGCATTCCTATGGTGATTTTTTTTTTATTCTGACTGCAGCCAACGGCTCCGATGTCAGAAAAACAAAACAAAAAAAAGAGCAGGGAAAGTGGGGGGAAGTGTTTCTCTCCCGGGAGGCCGGGAGAAGTATTTGACTCCCAGAGCGTCCGGGAGAGTAATGACAGAGGGCGTTCCTGGTTACTACGTAACCAGGGACGCCCTCTGTCATTACAGACTGAGAACAAAAGAGGCCGCTCTCAGTGTGTAATGACAGCGTCCCTGGTTAGCTGGTAACCAGGGACGCTGATCTCTCTGCAAGTGGTCGGAGCCAGTCAGTAGCAGGCTGTCCAGCAGTCAGTAGCAGGCTCAGCCGAGCAGAAGCATATGCCTTCGGCTCGACTGAGCCGCTCGGCCGACTTCGGGAGCTATACGGGCTATAGTGAATATCCCGTACAACAGCCCTTCGGTTCTACTGAACAGAAGGGGTCCTGGGGCCGAAGCTAGCCGAAGGATCAGCCAAAGCTACGGCTAGATCCTTCGGCAGCTTAGTGAATAGACCCCTTAAAGTATGTTGATGATATTGACATACAAACAGATCTGCACTCTACTGGTCAAAAGTTTTATAACACTTCACATTTTTCAGTTTTTATTGAAAATTGTGTTTAATGCCTCAATGTACAGAAATGAAAGTATAGAACAAATAAATTTAATTAGAGGTAAATCATAAACATGTTTATTAGGAAATTATACTCACTCACACCTTGGCATTCTGCAGAGAGTTTGTAAGTAAGCAAAAGTTGGAACACCTGTAGGAACTGTTTGCATACATTTTTATTACACTGTAGCTTTGTGCCAAATACATGATAACATGCATTTAGTGCATTAACCTCACCAGAATGCATGGTATTGCAGTACCTTGAGTTGTGCTGCAAAAAAGACCACAAGGAGGTGCATTGGAATGTCATTCATACTTAAGGCACAGAACCACAAGTTAGGTGTGCTGTGCGATAGTGTTCACTAAACCAGTCCTACAGGCTTAAATTACTTTTATTCAACTTGTAGAACTTTACTGCTTTCCTTTATACCATTTTAGGTTATTTGCTTGACTTAAATTTTAACGTAAACTAAAAATAATGGATAGGTTCTAAAATCTTTTGACTTGTAGATTCCCTTCAATATGTCAACAGGTGAACCAAAAGAAAAGTCTTAGGGTGGGGTAAGGGGATTGTAATTTGGACTATGACTAAATAAAGATGAGTGTTCAGTGAAGCGCATACTGGTCTATGTGAACACTGCAATTATTTGTAACCTTCAGCCTAGAATCAAAATCAATAACATTGGCTTAGTTATTGACACTTCTGTTTTGCAGCTCTGGGGTCCCCGGTTCAAATCACAGCCAGACCACTATCTGTAAGGAGTTTGCATATGCTCCCTGTGCTTGTGTGGGCTTCCTCCGGGTTCTGCAGATTCCTCCCACACTCCAAAGATGTGGCGGTAGGTTAATCATATGACCCTGGCTGATGTGAATGTATAGTATGTAAAGCACTGTGTAAGCTGTTAGCATTTAAATGCGTGCAATAAAAAACAATAACAGTGATATTGGACATTTACCTTTACAGGATGGGAATCTGATTTCTCTGCATACAGCTGATAACCCTTAGACAATAGGAATTCCACATGTGGCTTCTTAGCTGTTATAGCATCCTCTATTTCCTAAATGGAGTAAAGAAAACAGTTACTCATGAAATGCAGCATAATTATGCTAATTAAATCATAGATAATGGGTTTGAGTTCCTAAAGCAGTAGTAAAAGTTCACTTAGCTTAGTGAATAAGGTGATGCAATGTTAACTTGTCAATAGCAGTCACAGGCTAAGAAAATTAGAAAAAAATGTGTTCTTGTACATCTGCAGTAGGCAACCTCTGTACTCCAACTGTTATAGAAGTACAGATCCCATGAGGCATTCCAAGACTCCGACAGCCACTTTATGAGGCATGATGGGACTTGTAGTTTCACCACACCTGGAGTTGTGAAGTTACCTACCTCCATTGTACATGATTACATGATTAATGTGAACTGCTTCGCTATACTCGCTTTGCTAAGCGAGAATTCACTACTCCTTCATGAAATCAACTTTTTTTAATAACTTTTATTTTAGGAAATGGCAGCACTTGGACAGACACTTGCGGCCACTTGCACAGACAGATCAGCGTGAAACGTGAAATCTTCCATTGCTCACAACTTTCTGAAAATACTTGCTACTTAGTTGTCAGTGGCTTCAGTGGCTTTCAGAGTCACTGGCCCAGAACAAGCATTCACATCAAGGTAATGAAAATTAAGTCAGAACTCCTACATACATGTTCTGGGCCAGTGACTCAAAAAGTTGACAAAATATTGGCACAGCATGACAGCCAAGCAATTAGCATTTTCAGAAGGTCAGTAATGGCAGCCTCCGTATTTGCTCAGTACAGGTTTTCTGAACATTGTTAAAACACAACTCCAGCCAAAAATAACAAGGTAAAAATGAATAGGCTAGTAAAATATAACATATTCTGATTTATATATACTTTTTCCCAACAGCGCTTTTTTTCTGCCACACAATGTCCTCAGTCTGATGACCAGCATCATTCAACCCACTTCATCTGAGCCCAGGTCATCCTGGACTGACCCCCAGCCTGTTACTGGACAGTGAAAGGAAAAGAAGCACAGTGAGCTCATCTCTCTGTCAATCTCTGTCAACCTCCTCCTATCAGCATGTTTCTTTTTAGCACATCAACTGATTGGCTCTTTGTACTGCTTCTTCCTCTCATAATTAAACCCTGCTGTACAGGGACTGCAAGAGGCTGACACCATGTTAAATTTAGGTGCTTATTTAAAAAAATCTAATCATTTAATAATGTATTAATGATTAAAGAACTGCAATCATTTGTGTCTTTTATATCTGCCTAAAGTTCAGCTTTAGGGACATTGATATACTAAGTTAATATTTAAGGAACAGAGAGCATATTCTGACGTATAGTTGAATGTAGACAAAACTAAGCTTGGCATCACCATGTATGCATGCTGAGTGCTGTGCTATTAAATATTGCCTGGACCACACTCGTATAACCCCCGTGTTTGCTGTGTGTGATTAAAGATACGCGAGAGCTTTTCAATGCCGTTGTTAGAACAAATCAAGTAGCATAAGATGTATGAGCAGCAATTTTGCACATCTTAATGTGTCAAAGAGAAACATTTTAAATACATAAAACATTAACAAACTTTAATAATAGATTTTTAAAAGGCCATTTGCCAGTGGGAAGCAGAAATCATGACAGATTTTGCCTGTCAAGTAGCAATTTTTCCAAAGGTCTACAGCAAATGTGACACTGCATTAATACGCCTAGACATTAACATGAAACTAGCACTCAACCTTTGCTGCTAAACAGATTTACACTGTTTTTCGGAGGAAACTTACAGAACTACATGTTTTTAAACAGATGTTCAATAGAGTATTGCACTTTGATATCTTGGCACCATAAAAAGAAACTTTTCTCAGCCAACAAGCTACAAAAGTGCATCATTACATTTTTGAAGTACATTGATACACACTTGGCTTTACTTTGCCTCCTGCTCAGATTTTTTTGCTTTGGTAGATTTTTCCGACCTGGACAGAAGCCGCTGCTCAGAAACATGTGTAGCAATTCAGTGACACAGATATAAAAGCATGTGTGACTCCTGTTAAAAACCGGAGTGATACCTGTTGACAGCTCTATAGCAGATACTTGTTAAAGGCAGGTGACAATTAGAATAAAGCATAAGTTAAAGTTCCTACATGCTAAAAACCCATGCACTAGAGATCATTAACGGCAGGGATCAGCTAGACTGTCACAATCCTTGTTAACCTGTTTTCCTATGTTCAAAGAATGTCAGATGTTTCATATGTTTTTGAACTATTTCATATGTTTAGAGAATGTCACATGTGTCATATGTTTTTGAACTATTTTATATTAAACTTATTGTAAGCCCTCCTAACCCTATTATACTCAAATTGTAACTGTACTGTCTCCCCCATTTTGTAAAGTGCTGCACAAACTGTTGGCGTTATAATAATATAATAATAATAATAAAAAACAAATTATTGCATGACAGTTGGAAATCATACTGTATGTGACAGAACACAATAATTATATTGGTCAAACTGCTGCTAACTATTTATTATTTAATGATATACTATTTAATTATTTATGTTTGAGTATGTTGTTTTGATTTAATTATTGCTATTACTGGGACCCGGGTACTTAATTTCATTCCCTTTTATGTATAACATATTTTGGAATGATAATAAATATATCCTTATCCAGCCTGGAAATGTTCAGCCTGACTTCCATTTATGTATTGTTACACTGCAATGTAAACTTTGCAGCACATTAGCACATACATCTCAAGAATTAAATAATAAAAAAATAAATTGTACATAGGTTTTTCAGACTACAGGTATATACTCATCTACACTTATCAGATAAAACTGCTTGGTAAATCAAACATCAATCAAGAATGCAGATGGTTAAAGGTTTTAATTGTTGGGTGACCAAACATTAGGATGGCAAAGATGAGTGATATAAGCAACATAAGCAACTCTATGTGTTGAATGATTATTGGTGATAGACGTGGTGGTTACAGCTTCTTAGGAATTTACGGCATGTGAGTTTTAAAAAAGGGTGCAATAAAATTGCATGCAGAATTTGTAATTTCCATGTTTGTCCTTTGGTTAGTGTCATGAGCTGTTAGGAAAGCTAACTTCTCAAATAATCACTCTGTGCAACAGTGGCATATAGCAGTGCATATTTTAAATCTGCAATGCATTAAACTTCGGCACTACAGCTGTATTTCCTACAGCAGCAGAAGGCCATGCTGGTTTCCATTCCTGAAAATGGGGATGAAGATTAGAAAAATGTTGCCTAGTTTGCCAAGCCTTGATTTCTGCTGTGATGTGCAGATGGTAGAGTCAACAGTTGGTGTAAACAACAACTGAATCCATGAATCTAGCCTGTCTTGTCCCAACAGTTAAAGTGACACTAAACAATAATGTATTCAATTGCCCTAACTATGAACACAAATGTACCTTTTTTTGTGTATCACTCAGATGTAGATCCTTAAATCATCTGAATTTGTGTTGACACTGTCCTTTCTTCTGGAGGGTGCCTACTTTTGTTCCTCATGGTCCCTGTGTGTGTTGTAAAGTAGCCACCACTCCACGAGTCAGTACACGGTGCCCAGCTTCCTGATTGTCCAGAAAGTCGTCTCCTTGCTTCCTTGTCACTCTGCTAATCATGAAGCCAGATGGTGAGTCTTTACACGCCGTCTGACTTCCCGGCTAATCAGGAAGCCAGGTAGTGAGTCATTGCACACCGCCTAGCTTCCTTAATAGGACTTACGGTATTGGTATCGCTGAGTACGGGAACAAATATATCGGTACTCATACTCGATACCGAAAAAAACGTATGGGTGCATCCCTATCTAATATGACTATTTGTTACAAATAGGAACCCTGGCGGGACATCCCTTATGTCCCCCCTATGTGAAAACCATGTATGCTTCTCTGCTGGTTGTGGTAGAATGTGAATTGGTATGTAACCATCGATATATATCTGTGTTAACTCATCAACAAGTAAGTGATATATGTTTTGATGTACTTGTGATATTTTGCTATAGTTTTCCTTTGAGGTGTATAGCCAGGGCAGCCATCAGGGGGGTACGGCCGATACTCATGTAAGGGGCCCAGGCAGCCTGGGGGGCCCGCCCGGGTCCCTTACATGACTATCGGCCAACGGTGAAGGGCGAGGAGGCGGAGGACTGGCCCTAGCAGCGCTGCTGCTCGTCTAATGTCGGACTGGCCGGAAGTGACGTCACGCTAGTGACGTGACGTCACTTCTGGCCTGTCCGGCGGCAGACAAGGCCACGTGTGCAGGTAAGAGGAGCTAGGAAAGTAGGAAGGAAAGGAGGGATGCAGCCCTGACCAGCCCACCTGAGACCCCTTCAGAGCCCACCATAGACAGTCTCAGATGGGCTGTGCAGCATCTATGGTGGGGTCTGCAGGGTCACTCTCAGGTGGGTCCTGTGTCCAGTGCGTCGCTAAGCCCTGCGTCCAGCACGTCACTAAGCCCGTGTCCAGCGGCGGTGGGCCCACCCTAAAGCCGTGTAAGGGGCCCCAAAATTTCTGACGGCTGCCCTGTGTATAGCACTGACTACTTGGGAACTCCAGGTACCCCTATTAACCTTTAGAAGCACAGAAGTGCGAAACGCATTGAGAAAGAGAATCCGTACCTACACTAACTACACTGAATTATGATTCTGGCAATTATTCCAATAATATGTGATCATATGTTTTGATATCAATGTAGTAGGTCCGGGGGGCATCCTTAATTACTAAAATATGTTGGTATGTAAATGATGGTCTATATACTTGTGTGTTGATACAGTATATTGTGGTTAATGGTACTTTGTATTTTTTGGCTAAACTTTGATGATGTAGGGGTGTGATGTCGCAAGTTTTTTGGAATCCTATCCAAACTTATATGAATCATAAACAAGTAAAAAGCCAGCAATGTCCTTCAAAACTTGTGGTAATCTTGAATCCAATGGATATTGCGCTCTCTCTCATTTTTTCTAGAAATAATTGTGGGCAAACACTATTAAATGCATTGATGTCAGTTGTGATTGTTTAGAATTAAC